ATGCTAGGAACCAACGATACAAAGTCCCTGCTGACAAAGCTCTTAGACATTCTACTAGGAAGGATAATAAATAAGCAAAGTAATTAGTTACAGCTTGTGATAGGTGCCATGAGGGAATAAATAGGATACTGTGATAGAGAATAAGAAAAAATCTCCTCGGTTTAGACTAACTAGCTAGTTAGGAGAAGAAATGTGGACAGATTTGAAACACCTTCTGGACATTTAACCAATGGGATTCACTGCTGGCCTGGACGCGGGCCATGGGAAAAAGGCTGATTCCTAGGTATTTTGTCTTCCTAGGTTTTGCTATTGTTTTTATTTTAAGTTTAAGCAACTGGGTGATTTGATCATACCATTTATTGACAGAAGACATAAAGGAACAAATTTTGAAAGGAAAGGAAAAATTTTCATTTGGAATATGTTAAACTTGAAGAATCTATTGATATCCATTTGGAGACATCAATTAAGTTGCACAGTGGTTGGCAAAAAATAGGTGCTTAATAATTGAAAGAACTAAATAACAAATCAAACATCAAAATTACACAGAATTGAATTTAAAAATGAGTCTACAATGGTTTCTTTCAAACCCCAAGAACCAACACCCATAGAGAAATACTAAAGGGGAATTTTAACTGAACATTATTTAATCAATAGACCTAATTATTTTTAATGGAGCTACTGAGATCAACTACTTGTTTTAGTACTGTATAGGTAACACCTTATGATAACAGTAGATAGCAATAAACTATTATTAAAAAAATAACGTATCAATAAAAGTTGACTTTCTAAGAATTAAAGCCCAAAGTAAACAATTTAAAGATACCTCTGTTTCTTAGTCGAATTGAAAGCTACGTCTAAGAACAATGCCTCAGTAAAAAATCTTTTTTCTACTAAAAACAAATCAGTTTTTACTATGTTAGAATGCACTTAAAGGTTATTATATAGTAGTGCAGGCACTTTGGAAGGTGGTACTTCAGCTGAAATAGTGTTTGTTGAACATTTGGATTCAATGGCTGATTCTTGCTCCTTTCCTATGTGCTGCTTCCAGGTGGCTAGAAAACAATATAGTTCTTCCTACCAGCAGAATGTAAAACAGGTTTCTATCAGACTTCATTGTCAACCTTTGGAATAGGATGTATAAATAACAAGCATTAAATAGACTCATGTATTACTTTGCAAATAAATTTCAGAAAATAATTACCTTAATTTAGACTATAATTTGAAGGAACGACCTAGAGCAGTTTCTCGATCTTAGCATAACTGATACTTTGGGCTCAATTATTCTAAGCTGTGGGGACTCTCCCATGCATTGGATGATTTTTAGCAGCATCCCTGGCCTCTACCAACTAGAAGCCACTGGCACACCACTACCCATTCCCCCAGGTAAACAAACAAAAATGTCTCCAGACACTGCCAATGTCCCTTGGGGAGCCTCCAGTTAAGAACCACTGACCTAGAGTCATTCCAGTTACAGATTAAAATCCTACATACATCAATGATGGAAATTGCTGTAAGGATTCATGGTAGCCACGATAGCCAAGACTGCCTCAGTGATCCCCACCTCTGGTATTCACAGTCCCCTCCCACACAGTATCAGGGTTGGTTTGTATGGCCAATAGAAGACAACAGAGGGATGACATGTGATGTCCAAGGCAGGGTGTGTACCTTCTGTCTTTCTCTCTCTTGGATCACTTGCTCTGGGAGAAGCCGGCTGCCATGTCATGGTGACATTCAAGGAGCCCTATGGAGAGGCTGCCTCCAAGGTCAGGAACTGAGGCCTCCAGCCAACAGCCACGTAGGACAGAGACTTCCCAACAAGAGTTACCTGAGGAATATTTGAAGGAGATCCTCCCACCTCAGTCAGGCCTTCAGATGACTGCAACTGTAGCCAACATCTTAGCGACGACCTCCTGAGAGACCCTGGGCCAGAGTCACCCAGCTAAGCTGCTACTGACTTTCTGACACACAGAAACTGTGAGATAATCGATGCCTTAAGCCACCGGGTTTTAGGATCATTTGTTACATAGCAATCAATAGCTCATACAGAATTATAGCTGTTCCAAACACTAAAATAATGAGTTGAAACGCACCCTGGCAGGGAGATAAATCCTTATACTTCATAACAGAATCACTACATTCTTTACCCAAGGGCACAAATGATGGCTTAGTAGCAATTTATCTTTTCCAGGAAAAAATGAGACAACTGAGCACCAAAACTGTTTCTCTTGAATTCAGGGTATGGTTTCAGGGCTTGGGGGCGGGGAACAGAATAGATTAGTAACTTGATTTCTGTGGTAAGATAAACGATTTTCCACAAAGTCCTTGAAGATCTTGATGGAGATTCACATACCAAAGCTGGCAGCTCCCTGTTCCTTCTTTCCTGTGATACAGCCACTAAACACAGGGCATTTCAGTAGGAAAATTTCAGATTTAGTTGTGGCTCAGGCTCAATGGGGATGATCCAGGAGAATGACAGAAAGTCTGAAGGAATGCAGTTTCCTCAGATAGTTTCTAAACCCACAAGTCAAGTCCCAGGCATGCGTCCTACTGACACAGGCACATTTGTTTATCCCACTTTGCACATAAAAAGCTAAGTTAATTACTAAATGAACTTGGATTAAGTGAATCTTCAAATTTTATCTTACTGGAAATAAACAATATTCCAAGAAAGTACATCCCTATTTCTTACATAACTTGGAAAGCATCTTGCACTGAAACCATCTCTGAGGGTGCTATGGACTGAAATGCGTCCCCGCACAAATTCCTGTGTTGAAGTCCTAACCCCCAGGACCTCATGATGGAACTGTCATTAGGAAGAGGGTCTTTAAAGAAGTAATTACATTAAAAAGGAGTCATCAGGGTGCACCCTACTTCAATATAATTGGTGTCCTTATAAGAAGAAGAGATGAGGACACAGACACACACAGAGGGAAGGTCACGTGAAGACACAGGGAGAATACAACCATCTATAAGCCAACGAAAGAATGTACAGTGAATCACCAAGAGAACTAACATAACTAACTCCATTTCTGTTTAAGGGGCCTTTACCCATTCCTGCACATGGGCAAGGATAATTTTAGAGCACTGAGATAATATGCAAAAACAGCAATCAGGTAGTTTTTAAAACTAACTCTGAGATTAAAGGAGAAGGGTGTGAACAACTATGTTTTGTTAAAGATTTACAGGAGCACTGTGACTTGACTAAGGACAAGGATATTCCCAACCTCCTCGGACCCTTGCTGGAGCCCAGATGTCTGTGGTCATCAGTTACCTCTTCACCCTAACCCTGTCTCCTTTCCCCCGCTTTAACATAAAAACAGCCTAAAATGTGTTCCGACTTGAGAGGGTCCTCTGGGACACGAGTCCACCATCTTCTTTGTTTGCTGGCTCTCCAGATAAACCTGCTTTTCCTCCCACCAACTCTCGTCTCCTGTGCATGGCTTTCAAGTGGCACGCAGCCGAACCTGGGTTCAGTTATGAGAGGCCTCAGAAGAAACCAATCCTGCTGACACCTTGCTTCAGACTTCTAGCCTCCAGAATTGTGGAAAAGTACATTTCTGTTGTTTATGCCGCTCCCAGTCTGTGGTACTTTTATATCGCAGCCCTAGTGAACTAATCCAGAGGGCTTTCTGGTTGCCCTTGTGTTTGCTGGGTCCTCTGTGATCCTGAATCTGGTCGCTTCCACTAATCATAGCCACGATGCCATTGGAAAATTAATGTGCAGACCATGATGTCACACTCTGTTTTAAAAAGCAAGTCACAATGACACTAGATCCCCAAATGCTGAACTGTAAGAAGAATGAACTGTTGGAACTGAGGTCTCTTTTACTCTGGCCTTCTTGACTTTTACCAATACTTCAGAGCAGGGAGGAGAAAAAGGGAAGAATTAATCTGAACAACTTAAGTGGAAATAATTGAACAATGAAGTCCTTTTTCAATCTAACAGTGGAAGGGGTTTCTGAAACTTGATGACCATAATCCAGGGCAAAAGACTTATTGGAGGAATGTCCACTGTGTTGAATATGGGTTTAGAGATGATTTGCTGTGATGGTGTTGAAGCTGGGCAGCTGGGGTGGGGAGGGGCAGTGTCCCCAAAGTAACAGAGACCTGGCCATCACTTAGGATAACATTCTCAGGTGAACAGGTACAGCCAGTCAAATTGAAGGGGAAAGTAAAGCTTTCAAGTTGAATAGCTAAGGAGAATTTTTAGGCTGGGTGTGGTGGCTCATTCCTGTAATTCCAGTATTTTGGGAGGCTGAGGCTTCCAGCAATCCTCTTGCCTCAGCCTCCCAAAGTACGGGACAACATAGTGAGACCCTAGTCTCTAAACAACAACAACAAAAATTATTATTTTAAATTAGCCTGGTGAAGTAATGTGAGCCTGTAGTCCCGGCTCCTTGGGAAACTTGAGGCAGGAGGATGCCTTGAGACCAGGAGTTGGAGGCAGCAGTGAGCTATGACTGTGACACTGCATTCCAGCCTGGGTGACAGAGCAAGACCCTGTCTCAAAAAAATTTTAAAGAGAAGTCATAGTAGTGACTAATTATTCTGAAGTCCAAATGCCACAGAAAATAGCAAGATAGGGAAAGGTCAGTTTACCACCTCTAACGCGTCGAATGTTTACTATGCCTAGTGCCGGGCTAAGTGCTCAACGTGCACACCATTTAATCTCCACTCTGATTCCATGACAGATGTTATTATCATGCCCAATCAAAGACAAATAAGCTCAGAGAGGTTAAATTACGTATCCATAAAGTAAGACATAGAGTTATACATTTCTGTATGACAAAATGATTAAAATTACTTACGCATTACCTTTTTTCTTTTTAAATGTGACTACTAGAAAATTTAAAATTACATGTGAGCTTGTATTATGTCTACAGAACTACATCTATTAGCTTCTTAAAATCTAGGAAGAAAAGTAATTCATTTGCTTAATCACAGTAGACATTTAACTAGAAATCTAAGGAATTAAAAGCTTCTGGTGCTTTGAAACTTACAAAACGAGATGAGTTATCATTTTTCACAGTCTTCGCATTTCCAAATGATTCCAGAATTGGATTTGCTTGCAAAAGCTGTCGTTCAAGTTCCCCCTAAAAGACATTACACATACACACACACACACAAATAAAAGCAGATGTACGTTAATCTAATGTCTTTACTCAAGTTATCAGGGAAAAAATTTCTAAAAAAGAAACTGCATCTTTTCTTCAGTTCTTTCATTCTGTCTGCCATCCAGCAACTTTTGTTGGCTTCTTAATCCTGGTTAGGATAATGGACTCTACTAAAGGAAAAAAATTAGCATCTACAAAGTGACCACAAGGAGAAGAAACTGTCACGCTGAACAGAGAAGATCAACTTAAGCACAGGCCACGTAAATCAGGCAGAGAATTTTGAAAATAAAACAGATGGGCTTTCGTGAAATGAAATTTAGCATAACACTTCAATTAAGAACATACTAATACTTCTGTTTATTTTAACTCTGCCTTATTTGAAAACTTTAAGGCAGTTAATTTAACAGTTACCACTGTATTGATGTAGCACTTTCCAGTTTTCCAAGGAGTTTCATATACTATCTCTATCATATAGACAGGGCAATGTCTTCGCCTCCACTTTCAGAGGATGGTAAAGACGTTGATGCTGCTAACTTGCTCAGATTTAAAAGGCTAAGTAGAGAGTATTTGGTAAAATGTCTGCTTTAGTCAGTGTCTTTACTTATATGTAAATTAGGCTATAAAACAGATTTTACAAACAAAAGGTGGAAATATATTAATATGTGCTTTAATCATGAAACACAATAGAAAGCTGTATGAGAAAGTACGATGCCATTTCTGGCCATGAAAAGCACCAGAAGTGATGTTGTGTTTCTGGAATGTAATTTCAGAATTGTATTTTATGACTTAAATAAATCTGCTTTTTCCAAACATAAATCTTAACCCTATATTTTAAAATACCCACAGTATTTTAGACCTAAAGAAAAACTAACTAAAAGCTGCTAGTAAATGCGATACTCTAAGCAAAAAAGATGAATACAAAGAACCTCACATAAGGCTTTTAAATTAGTGGTATTTGGTATGTGAGGCACTCCATCACCATCAAATTCAAAAAAAAGAACAAATATATGTCATCCGTACAGTTCTGTCACGCCACCCTGGTGTGGACTGTCACTCTGCTGAAAGGGTGGGGAAGGGTTCCTGAGGCACATTACACAGGAAGGGGACCTGCTCCACCTACGTCCATTACAGCATGATCTGCACTGTCCGCACGTTCACAGGTCTTAAGTACAATCTACAACTGTGTTTAGCTGAAACCAGTCAGGAACCAGTCTTGTCGAGAACCTCAAGCTACCTGGATGTCATTACGTGGCATCGGTTCATTTTCTTGGCGTTAAGACAGATTCCTCCCTGTACAACAAATCTTCTGGTTTCCTCACTTAAAAACCCTTACCAGACTATTTTTGCTGTGCATTTTTCTAAACCATTACATGCTGCCAAACTTTCTTAAGCATGGTATCCTGAACAACTTTGATGACTGAGAGTCATTGTTAAAAATGCCAGTCAGGGGCCAGGCGCGGTGGCTCACGCCTGTAATCCCAGCACTTTGAGAGGCCGAGGTGGGCGGATCACGAGGTCAGGAGATCGAGACCATCCTGGCTAACACGGTGAAAACCCGTCCCTACTAAAAATACAAAAAAATTAGCCAGGCGTGGTGGTGGGTGCCTGAGGCAGGAGAATCGCCTGAACCTAGGAGGCAGAGGTTGTAGTGAGCCGAGCCAAGATCGCGCCAATGCACTCCGGCCTGGGAGACAGAGCAAGAGACTCCATCTCCCAAAAAAAAAAAAAAGAAAAAAAAGAAAAAAAAGAAAATAAAAAATGCCAGTCACTATTCGGTGATAGAATAGACTGCCTTCCCCCATCCCCCTCCGGGGTTGGCAGTCACTTCCATCAGCATTCCTATGACTAATATCTTGCAAAGCCCTTGGTATACTCAGTTTGTATTAACTGTTTGGGTCTCTAAAAGCCTTTTTTTTTTTTTTTTTTTTTAAACCTAATTCAATCTATGTGATGAGAATGTGGAAACTTGGAAAAACACTGGCATTCTGGTAAGTGGGGCATTACCTTAATAGTAAATATCTACTGCTAGACTGTGGATTCCTTAAAATCACACACCACCCTACCAAATCATAAGAAAAAGATTTTGATAGTCCATCTTTAAAGAGTTTTCCTAACTTGGAGGTAAAGCCAGTAATGCATATCTTACTTTAATATTACTTAGATATGGCTAAAAGGATTATTGGAGTCAAATTTTTTACTGGTTCTTTCCTTTTTCCGTGTGTGTGTGTGTGTGTGTGTGTATGTGTGTGTATGTGTGTGTGTGTGAGAGAGAGAGAGAAAGAGAAAGAGAAAGAGAGAGAAAGAGAGAGAGAGAGAGAGCGAGAGCGAGATTGATCCACTGATTCTATTCTTCTTGTGCTGGCTTCAAGTAACCTGGCTGTATCCCCTGTGCCTAACTCGGTCAGTATCAGATCAAAATGATGCTTGGCAAACGTTCTGCTGAATGAATGTATAATCAGAGGTTCCACGGGTATCCAACTCTTTATATGTGAGGACTTTTTCTGCTTATCTGTGATGGTGGGTATCATGAAAATGATGCACAAACCTTTTTTTTAAATAGCTCATCAGCTAGCGTTAGTGTATTTTATGTGTAGCCCAAGACAATTTTTCTTCTTCCAGTGTGGCCCAGAGAAGCTAAAAGGTTGGACACCAGAATTCTAGAAGTATTTGGGGAGGGACGGTGGTGAGCCAAAGGCAACGAGAAGATTTATGGGTCCTCAGAGTCACCATGGTAATTGTGGACTCAGGCACCCCTCTGTCCCTGGTGTTGGTCCCACTACGTTAATAGTGTCATGGTATCACTCCTACTAATGGATTTGTGGACACTGGTGAGACTGAGTAATGATCTCAAGAACTCATAAATGAATCCCCCAAAACCTGGTACAAAGCTAAGTATCATAACATATAGAAATTCACATGAAATGAGATAATTTCTGTGTTGAACAATTTCATAATTAGATAAATGGTGCTAACAAATCTCAACTAAATTATGAAGGCATTTGTAAACCATCAGGGGGCAGTGACTATTCACTTTTCCTCTGGAACTGGATGGGCAATGTCCTTCGTTTCTATTCTATAATGTTATTTTGGAATGTAGAAAACAGGCAGCCTTAGCTATTGAAATGATTTTTAAAGTTCTAAATATTTAGGGTTATATACTGCTTTAAAAGTTTACCAGTCATAGTGAAAATTATACTCCTGGGTTTATTACATAGTATATAATATACGCTCGCTATATGATATAGCATGAGTTCGAAATGGTTAAAAATATATACCTCTTTCAAAAGTCCAGTTCAGCCAGCAAGGGGACTCAGGCTGGGATCGGGCTGTACCTTGCAGGCCTGGCAGGGCAGAGCTGCAGGAAGGTTAAAAGCAGGCAGCAGCAACCAATCACATGTTGAAAACCAGACTCTAATCTCAACTGGCAGAGTCTCATTACTTGCTACTTGCTATCTATCACCTCTCTGTCTTGGTTCAGCACAGTTTAAACCAGGTTGGGGAAAGATACAAAGTCGTCCTGAAGATGACTGGAAAGACAGGGAGGCAAGTGGGCTGGCTTGAAGGAATCATTTGTAGGGGATGGTCAAGTTTTAGAATTTAATCATTTTCAAATCTGCTCTGAAATTGCGCTGTGTTGAGCCTTTGTGAACTCTGTGCTAGACTTTGAGGGTCTCTAAGAGCAACCTCTCCTGAGGAAAGAGGGCACACAGAAGCTGTACTTGCAGTCGGCTGGTGGATACTAAGGGGATAGAGCCAAATAAGACCTTTAATTTTGTTATAAAAGGTACACCAAAAGTTCGTAGATAAATGTTTATTTCAAGTTTACTTAAGTATTGTGACTTTAATTTTGAAAACTGATTTGCTTATATTTGTTCATATTTCAAAAATGAAGATGAAATTTAAAAGGTAAACATATAAGACTGACCACACTGCTCACTAGGATGGCTTTAATAAAAACATAGACAATGACAAGTGCTGATGAGGATATGGAGAAACTGGAACTCTCACATGTTCCTGGTGGGAATGTCAAATGGTACAGTCTCTTTAAAAATGTTTAACAGAATTACCATATGACCCAGCAATTTTACCTCTAGGTATTTACCCAAGAAAAATGAAAACGTATGTTCTCACCATAACTTGTACATGAGTGTTCATAGCAGCATTAATTATAATGGCCAAAAAGTAGAAAAAAATCCATATTCATTTTCTGATGAATGGACAAACAGAACGTGACACATATTTAATATAATGGAATATTATTTGGCCAAAAAAAGGAATGAAGTACTTATATGTGCTAGAATCTGGACGAACCTTGAATATATTATGCTAAAAGAAAGAACTGTCAGGGAGGACCACATATTATATGATTCCATTCACACAAAATGTCCAGAATAGGCAAATACATAGAGACAGAAAGTAGATTAGTGCTTGCCAGGGGCTGGGGGGAAATAGCACGTGACTGCTAATGGCTATGGAGTTTCTTTTGGGGTGAGGAAAATGTTCTAAAATTGATTATGATAATAATTGCATAATGTGAATATACTAAAAACACTAAATTGTACATTTCCAATGGGTACATTGAATGGTATATGAATTATATCTCAATTAAGTTGTTTCAAAAAAAGAATAAGTAGACAAACGAGCAAATAAATAAAGGACTGACAAAATCAGGAGCCTAGAAATGCCCTCCCTTTTGGGTTTACAATTCATACTACCGTTTAGTGATAAAATGCTGGATGTATACACATGATTCCTCAGAATTTAACTTTTGCTTATAAAGTTCAATGTAAAATCACAAACCAGTGGTATCAAATCAACCAAAAGAAACTGTGACCTTGGAAAGTACAGACTTTTCACATTGTAACTATAACTTTAAGGCAATCATTCAAGTGGGGTGAAGAAGTGGCAGACAGTGACACCCAGCAGGGGGAGAAGTAACTTCTTGACAGGACCCTTCCAGGGTGTGACCATTCTCTACCGCGCTGTTAAATATTTCATGTTCCTCAGTTGTGTTGGGGAAGAAAAATTGAGAACGAGTATTCTTCTGATATTTCTAAAAACGTCAGCATAGCTACTGCTTAACTATGATTAAAATCAACTTGGGAAAAGCAGCATTGAAGATTGTGTGCACAGTGGACACATGCAGTACGACATGCAAATCGGCAATGACCGGGAAGCATGGCCCAAAGAAGCTGCTGCCTTCTTTGGGAGAACGTGCTTCCCAGGGATTGATTTGACTCAAAGTAAAATCTAGGGCGGGTAGGCATGCTACTCACATACAACAGGGATCCACTCTGTAGTTTAAAATGACATCGAAACAAAATGTTAACAACAATGATTTATGTGTTCCATAGGGAATTTGGAAAACCTAAATCTGTGTATTAATTGCTTAGCACTATTTCAATAGCGACCCAAGTACATATTAAATGGACGTTTAGCAAGTACCTCTAAAGCATAAAGAAAAGCTGCCTTCTGGCCCAGATTTTCCTTCTTTAACTGGCAAAGAAGCTTTTAAATATCCTACAGGATAACAATTATTTCATTAACCCTCTTCATTTGTATCACTGGTCTATTCTGCAGCTAAAGGAGCAAAAGGACATCATAGGCCTTCATAGGTACAGTGCAGCTTGGGTGGCTGGCAATCTCTTAAGAATCTTAAGAAAGATATCTTAAAATCTCAGCGTCTATGACAATTCCTTAGATATTTACGATTATTTCTTTAGATTAACAGATCATTTCCATAACTCGATATTATTGTTTCTTACTTTATATCAGCTTTGTATCATCATGTTTGTGAAAGACAAACCAAAACCCTTCCAATGCTAGGGAAAGGAGTAAATCCAAGTATCGATGTCCTACTCTATCCAACGTATCTGGCTCAGGTCTGCCCTCCTTCTCCTTCCAGGTAGTGAGAAATGGAGGACATGCTATGATTCTTGGTTTGTTCATTGCTATGGTCTGTGGAGCTGAAAGGTAGGCATCTGATAATTAGGAAGAATAACAGTCTTCCACTACTTGCCCAGTATAAAGAATATTGTAATTGACTTTATTTTACTTATTTATAGAGATGAGGTCTTGCTCTGTTGTCCAGGCTGGAGCACAGTTGTGTGATCGTAACTCACTGCAGCCTCAAATACTTGGGCTCAGGCCTTCTGTCTCAGCCTCCCAAACACCTGGGACTATAGGTGCATACCACTGTGCCCAGCTCTAATTTATTTAATATATTAAATATAATCGGGCCTTTGTTAAAACACATACAGGCATAAACTATGCCATGCCATAAAACTTTAACAGATCAGAAATTTGTTAGTTCCAAAGGTACAACTTTTGAAGAGGCAGCCCCAAATTTAAAATGTAGAGTAGGGCACAAAGCTAGGTTTCCATGTGTCTGGTAAGTATCAAAATAATTCCACCTAGTAAATGACATATGAAACCATAATTTACAGGCTTCATAAACATGCAGTTCAATGTCATGATAAAAGGGCAAATAAATATTAAAATGTATCTGGAAAACAAATTTAAAGCAAAACGGCATGCGCTTCTCAAGAAAGAATAAGGCTCTAAGCAATAAATTTTCAAAAGTAAATTTTCTTAATGACAGATTTCACTTAGAACTAGTGGCATTTGATTCTAGCAGAGACTCAATCTACAGACAGAAATTAGTGCAAACACTCAAGACTAAGAAGCATAAAGAAAAGCACTTGCCTGGTGTTTCACTGGTTTAGGCGATTCCTGCTGTTCATTACAAACAGACAAATGCAAATGTTAGCAAGTTTGAGTCTTTGCCTAGCAGTAAGCCATTTCCAAAGCACCAAGCCAATGTGCAGTTGAGAACTGTGGAAGCTGGGCTGGCTGGCATTCTCTCAGGCTGTATTAACTATCACTTCTGCATGTCTAGAAATTAAGGAGAACTGACATTTCTATTCTTGCCCTTTTTCTATCATCACTTCTTCCCATATCTCTCTCCTCCCCTCAGGCTGCCGTGGGTAGTAGTGACAGGCTACTGCAAGTTCAGAAAGAACGGCTGAAAATAGGCGAGCATCTTCTTTTGGTGGAAAGTAAGTCTTCATAAGTACTGCTGAACAATTCTCAGCAAATCTTTGCAAGAAATTAGGCATCAAGCCACAACCATAATTCCGGTTTGCCCTGTCAGAAAGCCTCTTTAACAGCAATTTCCCTGTATCCTAGCCCCTGGAGTGGAAAAAAGCGTTGCTGGGTAGGTGGCGGGGAGCGGGTGGGGACAAGGGAGCTGTCAGTTATAGCAGTGTGAGAGCAGACTGGCTTCCTTATTTTTGCTTCTGAAATTATAAATGAATACGAAGAGATTTAAAAAACAACAGAGCAGAAACTTACAGGAATATTATGGTCCTTTCTTCCTTTATGTGAAGAAGCAACATGGGCAAGGTACTGAATAACTTTCTTTGTATTTTCTGTCTTCCCAGCACCTGACTCACCCCTGAAAGAAAGAATTAATATTGGCTACTTTAACAAAAGCACAGCACATGCATTCCAAAATTACAACTGAAAAATTAAATTGCATTGGAACAATAATAAAAATAAAAAGAGAACAGAAAAAGTAACTATCAACAGTAGTTAGAAAATTATTCTTGTAAAAGGTATTAAATAATAAACCCAAATAATTCTTCTTTTTCTTTGAGACGGAGTCTCACTCTGTTGCCTGGGCTGGAGTGCAGTGGCACGATCTTGGCTCACTGCAACCTCTGCCTCCCGGCTTCAAGCAATTTTTGTGCCTCAGCCTCTTAAGTAGCTGGGATTACATGGACACACCACCATGCCCGGCTAATTCTTGTATTTTTAGTAGAGATGGGGTTTGGCCATGCTGGCCAGGCTGGTCTCGAACTCCTGGCCTCAAGTGATCTGCTCACCTCGGCCTTTTAAAAAAGCACTGGGATTACAGGCCTGAGCCACTGCGCCCAGCAAACCCAAATATTTCTTGATAGATGCCAGTAAGAGGACACAGGAATATGTTCACGACACTCTTTTTTCCCTTGAGGGTGGGGGGTTCTACCAGAGAAGTGAAATTTATTAGAACATTCATGAAGAAAACTCTTCAGTACCATAAACATGACCAGCACTGCAAACAGAGAATCCCTAAAACAATTAAATTAATATGATTTAATCTGAAGGAGCTGAAAGAACAACTCTGAGATGCCTACTGGTACTGATACTCATTTTCAAAGCCACTGAAAGCCTTCTCAGATCCCCCTGTCACAGCTTGCTAGTGACGAATTGCTTCCTGGTGCCAATGTTGTGCCTCATTTGCATCTTGTTAAAGATCTTCCCATCATTTGCTGGCCTCATAGGCTGGGTTCCTGATGGCAGGGGCTATAGCCTCATATATTTATTTATTTGTGTTTTGTTTCTTTTCTTTCTTTTCTTTTTGTTTTTTTGAGACAAAGTCTTGCTCTGTTGCCCAGGCTGGAGCGCAGTGGCGTGATCTCGGCTCATTACAACCTCTGCCTCCTGGGTTCAAACAATTCTCCTGCCTCAGCCTCCCAAGTAGCTGGGACTATAGGCGCACGCCACCATACCTGGCTAAGTTTTTGTATTTTTAGTAGAGATGGGGTCTAGCCATGTTGGCCAGGCTGGTCTCAAACTCCTGACACAAAGTGAACCACCTGCCCAGCCTGTGTTTTGTTTCTTTTTAATCCTTGTAACTTTGCCCAGTGTTGACACATAGGCAGACATAATTTGTTGTCAAAATCAGTAAATACTATGAATTTTGTTGTGAATGAGGACAAATGCCACCACTTTAAATGATTCATATTTACAAGCAAGGCTGGCACATTTTGAAAGTTGCTTTTCATTTCTACTCAGTACTAGGCTTGAAATACAGACAAGCTGCTACGCACACAGCGATACCTGAATTACGGCCTCTGCTCAAACACTGAAGCTCCCCTAAGACATGATCAAAGCAAACCTAACTTTACAGTCAACAAAATTCTCAATTTGGATTATAATAAAAATTTCAATATCTAATTAATTTTTCTTTAAAAAAAAAACCCCAAACTCAAAAATGTTATTATATACATTGCCAATGAGTAATCCTCTAAGCATTTAATCTAAGGATTGAAAATCTAATTTTTCTAACAGGACTCTTCCTTGGAATTGCACTTAGAATTGCACTTAGAATTACACTATTTGGGCCAGCCACAGTGGCTCATGCCTGTGATCCCAGCACTTTGGGAGGCCAAGGCTGGAGAATCGCTTTAGCCCAGGAGTTCAAGATCAGCCAAGGCAACATAATGAGACCCGTATCTACAAAAAAAAAAAAAAGTAACAAATTAGCTGGGTGTGGTGGCTTCCACCTGTAGTCCTAACTACTCAAGAGGCTGAGGTGGGAGGATCTCTTGAGCCTAGGAAGGTGAGGCTGCAGTGAGCTGTGATTGTGCCACTGCACCCTAGCCTGGGCAACAGAGCAAGACCCTGTCTTAAAAAAAAAAAAAATTACTGTTTGAAGTGTCCAAAACTTAAATTTTTCGGTAGCCTTACTGGTTGCATTATCTTCTTAACACTGCACCCAATAACCACAAACTCAACCGCAAGGAAGACTGGGTGAAGGAACCCTAGTGACCAACTGTTGGCCTCAGTAAGGACATTTTCTTCTCTGGGCCTCAGTATCCCAAATCTGTAAAATGCAGGCATTGGATCAGATCCTTTCTAGTTCCAAGAGCTGATAATTCTAGATATAACCCATTTAATGGTTTATAAGACTATTTTCTATGTGAAGCTTATTAACCACCCCTCATGTTAGAGTAACATTAGTTTCCTTCAATGATTCGCCATCCACAAGCGTCTGAATCTTAGACACTCGAATCTACCAAACTTTTATTTTAAGGTTTCTGCCCACTATTCCTGCTAAAAGAGGCCTTTCTGGCAACCAAGATTACATCAATCTGTAGTCTCACTTTTATATCATCTGTATTATTAAATCCATCTGTTGTTTTCTTTTACAACTTTGATAGTTTCACTTTTTACAGCTGAAGCTTCAATCTGAAAAAAAATTTATGATTTGAGGTAAGAATTTAATCTAATTGTTTCCCCTGGATGATTCAGCCCACCTCCCAATATCAATGACTGACAAAGACATTCATTCTCAGGTGATCTAAAATGTTATCTTTTAGACAGGCATGGTGGCGGGCGCCTGTAATCCCAGCTACTCGGGAGATTGAGGCAGGAGAATCGCTTGAACCTGGGAAGTGGAGGTTGCAGTAAGCCGAGATCTTGCTACTGCACTCAAGCCTGGGTGACAGAGTGAGACTTCATCTCAAAAAAAAAAAAAAAGTTATCTTTATCTTATTCTTATTCCCCATACATGTGGCTTATTTCCAAGCCAGCACCATATTCAGTGGTTCTGAAATGTGGCTAACCAGAGCACCCACCATCATCCTTCTTTTTGAAAAGAGCAAAAAGAAATCAGGTAGACTCTGAGGTTTATTTTTTACATCAACTTCAAATAGTTTTTTTCTGTTATCTCTTCCCCCTCTCCCTGCCTCCCAAATAAAAAACGATAGGTAGAATTTTGAGTTAAATGGTATCAATATTCAGCCTCTTTTTTTTTTTTTAAGGAGAAATGATGTCTTTATCCCTGTGTCTCCCAGGTATAAGTTTTGCATTTTTCTAAGTTCAAAACAAGCAAGGATCATGTTTGCCTTATTTATCCTTAAAATCACAGTGCCCAACAGAGCAAGTGCTTGATATAGACTGCCGAGTCAATGAATAAATGTAGGCCCTACACATTTTTAAGGTTTATTCCTAGGCTCTTTTTAATAATTTTTGTTCTTATCAATCTCTTTTCATCACCATTATATTTTCTACCTGGCTACTATTGGTACACAGATAAGACAATAGTTGCTATTCATTCATTCAATTACGTATTCTTTCAACAAACATTTGCAAATCAACTTCTATGTGTCAGGCATTCTTCTAAGTGCTAGGGATATAGTGTGAATATTGTCCATGTCCTTGTGGGGCGCAAGGTGAGAAGAACAGACAGAAAATAAATAAGAAAAACAGGTAAGATTATTAGATTACAAGGATATAAGGAACGCTACAAAAGACACTAAAAGGAAAAAGAGAAGGAAGGACAGCCCCCTCCTGTAGATATGAAGGTCAGGGGAAAGGTTCCTGAAAGACGAGCAAGAACTGGCAAGTGAAGAGCTGGGAATGTGTTCAGGAAGATGAGAGAGGTACATGTAAAGACCCCAAAGCAGAAAAGAGCTTGGCCTAGTCCAGGGACTGATGGCCAGGTGCCAGGATTTGATAAAAATAACAACCAGGGGAGGGAGTGGCAAGAGAGACAGATGGAGCAGGAAGGGGAGGGGTGCCATGGACCCTGGAGGTCATGGTAAAGAATCTGGGTTTTATTCAAGTGTAATTTCTTAAATAGCTATGACAGTGGTCTCTCTGTTTTGTTCTCAGCATTATTAGAAATACTGAGTGTTTCCATGTTAATCGTGAGATTGGTTGTTGGTTTCAAAAAGATAATTTCTTATTATGCCACGAAATGGGCCTCTTTTTCAGACTGACGATGACTTGTCTCAAATATAGTGATGATTGTTACTTTCCAGCCTGGTTTGTCTCTGTGGTTTCCCAGCTAACCCCCTCACTGGACATGCTTCAGTGTGACCCTAAAGCATTTTTTCCTGCCTGTCATACTTAGGCAGCCATACTTCAACAATTGCTTATGAACCCTGCTACATTTTACATACTTCAGGTCTAAGGTAAGTCTGCTAGAGAAAATATGGCTTCAAAGATAAGATATATTCAAAATCTTACTGTTGAGCTCCCAAGAGGATAGACTCTGGGTCTTACACTGCCCACTATAAAATGGGGATAATAGCTCCTAATGCATAGGGTTGTTGAAGAAAAAATACAGCCCAACTAAAGTATGTAAGTGGCATTCAGTAAACATTATCCATTATTGTCCACTCAAATATTCATCCACTATACATGAGGTGATTTGAATTACTAAACTTTATGAATCAATAGTTAGGACGGTGGTTAAGAACCTGAGCTACAGAATCAAAATGACCTACCTAGATTCATATCCTTCTGCCACTCCCTAGCTATGGAGTTTTAGGCAAGTTACTCAGTTCTCTGAGGCTGAGTTTACATGCCTTTAAAATGAGACTCCACAGGACTGAGATAATGCGGGAAAGGGCCAAGCACTGTCCTGGCCAAAAGGCTCTCAATAAATGGTAGTGGTGATACCAATAGTTATGATAATGATCGATGATGACGATGATGATGGTAATGGAAATTTTTAAAATCTGATTTTAATGAAGGAGGTGGCAGGATCAAAGGAGTGTAGACCTTGGGAAAATAGAAAAAACAAAATGAAACAATGAGAAATGGCACATCTGTTCCAGATGAAAACAGAGGAGGTAACTAAGAGCAGCTTGAACAAAAGCAGAGGGAAGAGAGCCAAAAAGA